CCTCTCCAAAAAAAAAAAAAAAGGTGTTGGCCTCCCACATGGCTGACTGTGGTCTGAGTCCCAGACCTGAGAGCTTGAAAATCACATCAGGCACGTGTACGTGTGTGGCCAAAATCCAAGGAGGAGAATGGAGGAGGAGGGCTTAAGGTGTGGCCATCCCCACTGAGGTGTGACTTCTCACATTCCCTCTCACTGTCTTTCTCTTTCTCTCTCTAGCAAGTGCATGTGCCCTATGGCAAAAACTTTAAAAAGAAAACTACCAAATAGGACTTCTACAAGGACACCTAAATTCTGGTCATATATCTGAAGGCAAGAAAATTTTTGCTTTAAATAGTCTCCTGTAATTAAAATCCTTCACAAATTCAGACTCGCTTTTGACCTAGTTACAATGTAATTTATTTTCTACATTGTGTTATTAAGCAACATAGAACAAATGGTTTTAAATACACCTAATTTCTCATCCTCCTTTCCCAATAGCTTTCATTATGTTTCTTATTTTTCCAAAGAGCAAGTCATCTGTCCTCTCCCTCCATTCCATGTTCAAAAAGCTACATCTAGCCTAAAGACTTTCCCAAGTAGAAGAGAACTCCAAAATATGTATTATAAAGATAAGATATTTTCAAAAAGAATCCAGATATTCAACTCTAAATAAAGCTTTCTATGAGATACTACATGGAAAGATCCAAGGTACTAATGTCAATTAAAATCCCAGTATAAGCAACAGAATATGAAATAACATTTGAAAAGAGATAGCAACAATAGAAAGCAAAAAGATTATACAGATTGAGTATTCCTTATTGGAAATGCTTGGGTTTGAGGTTTTGGAATATATGCACATACATAATAAGATAATTTGGAGGGGCCAGCAGGTGGTGTGGTGGATAAGGACACTGGATTCCCACATGGCCAACCATGGTTCAAGTCCCGGACCTGGTGGATTGGCTTTTCAATTAAAATCCTTCACAAATTCAGACTCGCTTTTGACCTAGTTACAATGTAATTTATTTTCTACATTGTGTTATTAAGCAACATAGAACAAATGGTTTTAAATACACCTAATTTCTCATCCTCCTTTCCCAATAGCTTTCATTATGTTTCTTATTTTTCCAAAGAGCAAGTCATCTGTCCTCTCCCTCCATTCCATGTTCAAAAAGCTACATCTAGCCTAAAGACTTTCCCAAGTAGAAGAGAACTCCAAAATATGTATTATAAAGATAAGATATTTTCAAAAAGAATCCAGATATTCAACTCTAAATAAAGCTTTCTATGAGATACTACATGGAAAGATCCAAGGTACTAATGTCAATTAAAATCCCAGTATAAGCAACAGAATATGAAATAACATTTGAAAAGAGATAGCAACAATAGAAAGCAAAAAGATTATACAGACTGAGTATTCCTTATTGGAAATGCTTGGGTTTGAGGTTTTGGAATATATGCACATACATAATAAGATAATTTGGAGGGGCCAGCAGGTGGTGTGGTGGATAAGGACACTGGATTCCCACATGGCCAACCATGGTTCAAGTCCCGGACCTGGTGGATTGCTT